TTTGCATGTGGACATCCAGTTTTCCTCATTGTGTGGTTTTGACATCCTTGTTGAAGATCATTTGACCATAGATATGAAGGTTTATTTCTGGACTGTCTTTCTTCTGTTCCACTAATCTACGTGTCTGTCATTATGTCAGTACCATGTTGTTTGATTACTGTAGCTTGGTCATATATTTTGAGATTAAGGAACATGATTCCTCAATTTAGTTTGTCTTGTTTGGGGACCTTTGAGGTTCCACAGGAATTTTAGGATTTTGTTTTTCTGTTTCTGCAAAAAAGTACATTGGGATTTTGATAAGGATCGCACTGAATTTGTGGATAACTTTGGGTGGTATGAACATTTTAATAATATTCAATCTTCCAATCCATGAACACAGATGTTTTTCAATTATTTGCATTTTCTGTAATTTCTTTCAGCAATTGTTTTGTCATTTTCAGTGTAGAAATCTTTTACCTCCTTGGTTAAGTTTATTCCTCAGTATTTTATTCTTCCTGATGTTATTATAAGTAGGAGTGTTTTCTATAATGACAACTTTTGACCTCTCTGAAGTCTTTCACATTGTTAACCATGACCTCTCTCTTGAAACACTTTTACCTTTGGATTTGACAACAAACAGATTCTGGATCTTGCTCCTATGTTTTGGGCTGTGACTTTTTGTTCATATTTTAGGCTCTTCCTCCTTGGCTTATATGACTCATTTGTTGTTCCTCAGGAGACTTTCTTCCCCTGGTAAACTCAGAACTTCTAAAGGCTTAAATTACCACTTGCATGTTGACTCTTGCTCCTACCCAATACCTATTTCAGTCCCAATATTCTATCTAAGCTTTAAACCTTCTAGCTACTCATAGAAATTGTCTCATAAATATCTCCTAGGCATCTCATGGAAAATATGACCAGCCTCTGTCCTCCAAAATAAAACAAACAAAACCCCATTTCTTCCTTCTCCTGTGATCTCTGTCTTGGCACACCTTGGACAATCTAGAAACCTGGGTGACACCCTGGTCTCCTGCCTTTGCTCTGCTCTTACTTCGACTGGTCACCAAATCCTACCCACTGTATTTTCTCCTCTGTATTCCACCACCTCTGTATGTTCCCTGGTCTCAGTTTCATTTAGTTGAGGCCACGATCACTGTCTGACTCAGCAATGGTGCTCTTATCATTAGGTCCCTTCAGTCTATTCCCCATGCTGATGCTGGAATGTAGGGAACATTATGTCACTCTTGGGCTTAAATGCCCTCAGGATAATACCTAAATGCTCAGCACCGCTCACAACTTTTCACCTGCAATTTCCTGCTTACTTTTCCAGCTTAACATTTCTCCCTTGATCAACACTTGAGTATTCAGATCTCCAGATTAAAAAGTGAGTAGATACAGTCTCTGAGCAGTAACATCCTATCTATAAAAGGGATACCTCATACAATCTTAGCCTGATGCCATTACATATTTGAATCACACAGCCCTCCTCTCTCACCACCCCCCATACCGATTCCTGGCTTATTATGCTATGTTCTGATTATGATTTGACCTTCAGTGTATACACCTACAGTGACAGAATATGCTAATCCATAGATGTAAGTACATCATCTAACCCACTTTCTAGACTCACATCTCATAATGAATGAATGAACTGGTTCTCTGAGCAGGCATCATGACGTCCTTTGGTGAGGACATTGGAGTAGAGTGAGAGAGCCCACGTCATTTCCACTTACAAACTGTATGAAATTAGGCAAGAAATATACTCCTTTGAGTGTTAGTTTCTGTGTCTGTAATCTCCAGCATAAAATGCAATAATTTAACATGCAGTACCTTGCACGAGGTAGTTTTCAGTACGTGATATTTACCAGCACAGCAGTTATGTCTCTCTTTTATGTTACACTTGTTTAAACAAATTTACTCATGGACCCAAAACCAGGAAGACTGAAGGCCTGACCCAGATCAGGAGACAGCAACCAGTGCTGAGCCGAATAGCACACTCCCCAATACCCTGTCTCCATGCAACTGCCCTCCATCTGGAAGGACCTCAGTATGGACACAAGGCAGACATGAAAATGAAAGCGCCCAGGTAAGGCTAACGAGAAACATGACCCCAGAGCTCACATTTTAAAGAGAATATTTTTTTTTTAAATCACACTTATACGAGAGAAAAGCTCCTCTACACGTCCATCCCCACTATGCAGTGGACATCACCAAAGACCAAACATCATCAAGTTTGAACCAGAATTCAAATGAGACTTGATACCACACTGGGGAAACAGTTTTGATTTCAGAGGATGGAATTTTATCTAACTAGACTATCTATACTTCCCCTTCCAATGATTCTTTCCCTGAGGCTTCTCTGTGGGTTTTTTTCCCCCTCACAGTTGAATGAATTTTATACTGCTTGAAAGAAAGCCCTTTATATCTGTCTTGCACTGAATTTGCAAAAACCATTAAAGCTGTGAGGAGCCTCCCCATTTTCAAAGTTTGCAAAAACTCCACCTACAATCTCTAGTGTCTTTGCTGCACCATCGAGGATCAAAGTCATCGTCTCCTGGAACTACTGTTCAGAGGACAGCATTGGGTCAAGGAGATTTTTAGCTTCTATGCAAAGTGATTTGGCTTCTCAGCAGCCCAATTACACATTCATGGACAACCCCATTTCTAGTCAATTTTCTGGTCTTATAAAGAAAACCATTACATGTCTATATCTTTATTTATATCTATATCTGTATCTGTATCTGTATCTGTATCTGTATCTGCATCTATATCTATCTCCATCTCCAGGGTCTGGGCTGGGGTTCAGGGTGGTGATAAGAAAAGCATGGTCTCTATTTAATTAGGTATGGGAGCTATGAAAGGATCGTTACTATATTGCTATAGTTACTATATTGCTATAGTATACTATATTGCTATATTGCTATATTGCTTCCAGGAATCAGTTGCGTCTTATATGCAAAACACAGGGAAAGCAAAAAATGAGTTTCATATGGAGCATCACTGTCATGACTTCTTAGAACATTATTTATTTTGAAGAGGGAAAAAATAAAGCTACCTTAGTGGCTATCAAGGCACAATGTTGGTGATACCGTGGAGAGGAGGTGTGGTGGGAATGGGTACTTACATTAGAGACTCTCCAAATGTGTCCCCAAGGGGCCCTTTTAGTATATTGCTCTGAATTCTACTAAAAAAAAGACACTTTTCTGTTTCAAAATACCTTTATTAAGTAATAAATAATTCAATGCTTTCTCCTTTCCCTTAAAAGAAGGCATATAGGGGGGACACCTGGGTGGCTCAGTCAGTTGAGCATCCAACTCTTGATTTCGGCTCAGGTCATGATCTCATGGCTCATGAGATCAAGTCCCAAGTCGGGTTCTGCACTGACAGTGTGGAGCCTGCTTGGGATTCTCTCTCTCCCTCTCTGTCCCTTCCCCTTCTAAAAATAAATAAATAAACTTTAAAAAAATGAAGGCATTTATGAAGAGACTTCAGAACATTAGGGAAGCTTCACTGCCACCTAGAATTTGATTTGCAGATTTCCAACTAAAAGTATTAAAGTTGGCATTTGAGTTAGCACATCTGGTCTTACATTGGGTGCACACACAACTCTCTCTCGGCTTCCTCAAGTGTTAAAAATGGTGGCTGGCTCCATACTTTCTCCTGAAGAGTTCTTCTCCTGAAGATGGTCCCTAAGTGGAAGCCACTGTCTCAAAGTCTAAGGAGGTGACCAGAAAGTCATGGGGAAAAGAGATCTAGGATGCTTGTACTTGAGAAGAATGTGATTCCAGGATTCCACCAACAGTTGGTTGTGTTGACTTGCCTTCCATGAGCTTCTCCCTGAAGGGTTCTGGTGTCCTTTGCCATCTGGCAATTTGACTTATCACTTTCCTAACTCAGGGTTTGGCCCCATTGCTCCCCCTTCATCCCTGTGTTATATTCATAATCTGTGTTCTTTCCTTTGATTTCACATCTTGAATGATTTTCTAGCACCTTACTTTACTTCTTCCTTCTTCTCTTCTGTTCTAGTTTCTTCACCGTACCTTTTAGGTTTCTCCTACCCTGTTCACCTTCAAGGTCATATTTCCTCTCCCAAGCATGAGAACAGACTTTCTCTTTCTATCAAGGTCATATTTCCTCTCCCAAGCATGAGAACAGACTTTCTCTTTCTAATAGCTTTGTCTAGTGTTTCATATTTAGCCTCTGTATGTTAGAGGTGACTCACACTTGTTTCTATTACTCTTGAAAAATGTCTAGGAACCAGCATTTACATTTTAACACAATTGTTTTTTGACCACAATCAGAATAAAACACATTAAAAATCTCTAGAGGCATTGCTGAAATGTAATATGCTGCAAGCACACTGTGTGTCTAAAGAGGATCGCTACTCCAGAAGGTCACTGAGAGAAGAGGTGCCTTGGGCAGAGTCTGCCGTCGCGTGTACCGAGTGGTAAGCCTCTGAGCTCTTACCTGCTGCAAAAGTCCTAACTCCTGTGGCTCTGATTAGATCGTCTGCTTTCCCAGGGAAAACAAAGAACTATTTTGGATAGTTTTAATGACTGGGTTGCTTGATTCACTTCCGTTCCTCAGAAAACTGCCCCTCACACCAAGTTATTTCATGAGTATATATTGATGTTTCTGCCATCTAAAACATGATTATTTATAGACGAGTAATTAACATTCCACAACAGGCATGACTCATGTTTGGCATTGATACAGCTTTCCTGTGACTCAGTCATGGAGCCTGGGCTTTAGGTCTGAATTGCCTGGGTTCAAATCCTAACTCTGCCATGTATTCGCTGTGTGGCCTTAGGCAAGTTACTTAACTTCTCTGTGCCTTAGTTTCCCCATCTGTAAGATGGATATATTAATAATACCTACATCACATGGTTGCCATGAAACTTCAATAAATGAACATACACAGCACCTGGAACTGAAAGTGTCCGACAAATGTTACTATAGCTATAGGAACCTACAGATTAGTGGCAGAAAGGATAAATGATGAAAAAAGGTTTGTACTGAACAAAGGCAGATTATGGAGTATGTATGCTTTCTGGAACTTAAAACATTAAGAAAATCAAACATTTTTTACAGATTCCCCATTCTATTCTCTATCTGGGAATACTAACAATAGAGTACAGGAATTTAAACCCTTGAAGGCTGAGGCTACACACAGAAAACGAAATCGGGATTTCAGGGAACATTTGTAATGGAGTTCTGTAAGAAGCTTTGAAAAACAGGCTACCATTTCAGGTATTCACATAATTACATGCACGTGTGTGTGAAAGTACATACAAGTGTGTGTACATTGGGGGGCGGTGTGTGGGTGTACGTGAGTGTATTCTTGAAACTATGTAAATGAGCCTCATCTCAAAGACCAAGATGACTGGAAATAAGGGGGGGGGGGTATAAAAATGATGTAATTTGTAGAAAGTAATGAAACACAAATATTCTTATACAAAATGGAAGAAAACAGTAAACATTTTAGTTTAGTGCGATAATCTTTGGTCCACAGCAATTAGTGTACGGATTAATTGATAAATTTAATAGGTATGTATTGTTAGTCCAGTCATGGCCAAAGAACAATGTGAAAAGTACTAATGAAAATGAGTTTGCCGTTTTGTTTATGGTTGGGATTTTCAATGCTCGAATATCTCTAAATATTCAAAGAAGATACTTCAAATTGTAGGCTGGTTCAATCCGATAATTAGCTCTGATGTATAGGATTTCCAGAAATACAGAGCATTACTAATATATAGCAAGTGATTAAACAAAAACCATTTTATAACTAATGATAGATCCTAAAACAAAGCCCCGTCTAGTTTACTAAAACTGTATAAACTAAGAAGAAAGTCAGATGTCAGTTAAAATCCTGATTTTTTTACTGTTGGTTTTTCACTTGGGGTCAGATAAAATGTATGTGTGTATATATATATTACCTATATATAATATGCAAAAATATTAGTAGGTTTGAATTTTACTGCAAAAATATTAGTAGGATTGAATTCACAAACTTGAAAAGAAATTGCCTATAGATTTATTTTACTTCTTTCTAGTAAAAAATGTGGGCTGGAATTATATGGCATTTTAATTGGCCAATGGTTATTTAAAACCATATTGAACCTGGCTGTAGCACCAATTTGAAGAAAATAGAATAGTTTTCATTTTATCTATAGACTACACATATTTATGTCCTCAGAAAGAGGACATTAAAAATCTACGTATAGTAAGCAACATACACAGGAAAATCCACATCTAAATACCAGATTTGTAAAGCAAGGACTGAGGTGGCTATCCAACAGCAGATTTTCACTGGTTATGTCTAATGATATGGGTCAGTTTTCACTTTTGAACTCACTAATTACATGTTTCTTCAATAACTAGAAGCTGCATAAAGCATTTGCATCAGTGGCAGAAGAGAAGTTCCCAACTCTCATTTGAATAATCTGTCACTGTTGCTGCAAACTGAAAAGATCTGGAAGAAATCATTTCCACTATGCCCAGAGGGCCATTTTGCTTGTGTAGCTGAAGCACAGGAAAACACTTAAATCCTTCCTTGATATGCTCACAGTGGGCATCCTTTCTATCAGATATATATATATATTTTTCTTTTGTTGACGACCCTTGGTTAGAAGCACAGACTTTGGAGATAAACAAAAGTAAAAGGATGAAATGCCTAAGTGATTTTAGGATATGCAAATGACAAGGAAACCTTTTAAATAGGTTCTGTCTTTGCTTTTGTTAAATAAAAAATAAAACCCAGGGCACCTGGGTGGCTCAGTCGACAAGTGTCTGACTTCGGCTCAGGTCATGATCTCGCGGTTTGTGGGTTTGAGCCCGGTGTTGGGCTCTGTGCTGACAGCTTGGAGCCTGGAGCCTGCTTCTGATTCTGTGTCTCCTTCTCTCCCTGCCCCTCCCCTGCTTGTGCTCTGTCTCTCTCTCTCTCTCAAAAATAAACATTAAAAATAAAAAAAAAAAAGACAAGTCAGATGCAATTTGAAAATTCTGAATGTATAGGGCTTTCTTATAATTCCAGGTAAGACTTGTTTTCTAGCCTTAGTTTTTCATTAACATCTCTATTATTATTCTTGCAGTGCTGGGGAGCGTGATCCAAGAATATCTTACCTCCCTCCTCACGCAAGGAAAAGAAGAGCAAAGATAAACTATTGGACTGCATCAAACTAAAAAGTTTCTGCATGGCAAAAGGAATCATCAACAAAATGAAAAGGCAACCTACTGAATGGGAGAAGATATTTGCAAATGATCCATCCAATAAGGGGTTAAATATAAAATATATAAAGAACTTATACAACTCAACATCCCCCAACAATCTGGTTAAAGAATGGCCAGAGAAACTGAGTAGACATTTTTCCAAAGAAGACATCTAGGTGGCCAGCTCATGAAAAGATGCTGCACATCACTCATCATCAAGGACATGCACAATGAGATATCACCTCACACCTGTCAGAATGGTTAACGTAAAAAAAAAAAAAAAACAAGAAACAACAAAGTTGGAAAAAATGAACCCTTATGTACTGTTTTTGGGAATGCAAACTGGTGCGGCCACTCTGGAAAACAGTATGGAGGTTCCTCAAGAAATTGAAAATAGAATTACCATATGATCCAGTAATTCCACTACTGGGTATTTTCCCAAAGAAAACACAAACACTAATTTGAAAAGATGTACGCACCCCTATGGTTACTGCAGCACTATTTACAATAGCTAAAATATGGGAACAATCCAACTGTCCATCGATAGATGAATGGATACAGAAGAGGTGGTATATATATACAATGGAATATTACTCAGGTACAAAAATGGATGAGATCTTGCCATTTGTGACAATATGGATGCAGCTAGAGGGTATTATGCTAAGTGAAATAAGTCATACAGGGAAAGACAAATACCATATGATTTCACTTATACGCAGAAGCTAAAAAAGAAAACAAATGAACAAACAAAAAAACCCCAGAAATAAATTCATAAATACAGAGAACAAACTGGTGGTTGCTGGGGGGGGGGGGGGGGGGGGGGAGGGCAAAGTTAATAAAGGAGATTTAGAGGTACAAACTTCCTGTTATAAAATAAATAAGCCATGAAGATAAAAGTAGAGCATAGGGAATATGTTCAATAATATTGTAATAACTTTGTATGGTGACAGATGGTAACTACACTTGTGGTGAGCATTGCATAATATATAGAATCGTTGAACCACTTTGTTGCACCCCTGAAACGAATACAACATTGTATGCCAACTATATTGCAATAAAAAAGAATATCTTATCCACTGACCTTCACTCACACCAACTCTACTTTTCAAAGGGTCTCTACTCTTTGATCGAACCATATATGTATGCCAAGCATCTTCCATGTAACAGAAACTATGAGAATGGTCCATCATGCCTGTCATCTTTCTGCCATCAGCCATATAACCTTCACACATTTCCATTTACATTTTTGGGGTATGATTATCAATGCCATAACATCCAATCTGTTTTCATACATAACTGGGCACACAGTTGATCATTTATTCTATTCCATTTCTTATAATGACTATGGGCACCAAGACTAAATTCTCTTTTAGTGTCTAGAGGTCAGGCAAGTTGATGCTTAATATTTTTATGATGATGTTCAAGAGTATTACACACAATTATGCAAAATGGCAATCTGGCCCTGAAGCATTTCATTCTCAAACAACCTTTATGTAATGACAGAAGGGGAACAGTCACCAGTCCAATTTCCTATACTATGTGCATCTTACTTTTACTCAAAAGAGTAATTTAAAAATATTCCTAGGATAATTCTAGAGCCAAGAAAACTTTTTTTTTTTTGTAGATAATGGATAAAAGTCAAACACAAGAAAATTCTGCCAACATAGACTGCCTTAATTTATTAAACTATTTTTCTTAATTTGAAGCTAGCTCTATTGATAACATTATCTGTAAGCACATATTTTACCCTTATTTTTTTAAAATTCAGAGTTAAAGAATTCCCCATACATTAC